GATAATAAATTTGAAGAAATTGATAATAAAATTGATGAGCTTTATAATAAAATTGAAGAATTTAATAATAAAATAGACGAACTTTCCGAAAAAATTATTTGCTCAGTGAAGAGATTCAACAAAGATTCCAGGAAGAAGATACTCTAGCCAATTATTCAAGAAGACTTTCAAGCAGTTCTAGAGGTAAGCTTATTTCAATGCATAAATATCCGTTATCTTTGAAGAGATACCCATTGTAAATCAAATATTTTTGTATCATTACAGTTTCAAGACGAACTTCAGATGAACTCATGCAAAAATTCAAGAAGCTTTTCAACGAGACTATGCGAGAAAAGAATCATACTAAATCAGATATGATTAATGAAGTTGTAGCTGATCTAAAAAGAGAAACGGGTATAAAGGTTCTCGGATTCAGGGTTATTGAAAATTATTATAATGGAACAACAAAACCTGATACCAAATCCATAGACTCGATAAAGGCTTGGATTGCGTTTAAAACTAAAGAAAAAAATAAAGTCATAGTTAGCAATAATAACAATGATAATAGTGATGACGACGAAGAAATATATTTTAACAATGATAATAAATAGTTTTCACCTGGTAGAGCCAAAGTAAAGGGGCGTATATTCATGGTCTAGGGGCCGTACGTTCTCTCCCTTGCAACTCTACCGTAAAAAATCAACATTATTTATTATTATTCTTGTATCTTATTATCGAAATATATTTTCGCTTGATTAAATCATTAAATAAAATGAATCAGCGAATTCTTTATTTTTTAAAAACATAATATTTGTCAAAAGAATTTGAATATTGTGTATATGTAGTGCAACTATATAAATTATGTATACTTACTATGAATTTCGCTTTTTCAGTTCTATACCAATGTCATGCATGAGCTATCAATTATTACAAATGAGATTTTTACGCCATTAATATTAACATTTCTACGACCATTAAATCTCTATACTGCTACCTTTCTTGCAAATTTGGTACTTGTATCTTTGAAAATATTGCCATATTAATTAGATTTGATTTTATTAGATTGTCGCACACATTAAAAATTTATGTAGTATAACATATATAGTTTAATTAGATGATCACTACTATATCAGACATCAATTTATGTGGCGGTTCAAAAATTATTTTTGGGTTTTCAGAATTTCGATTTGTGCGATTAACCAAATTCGATTAGCTACATTCATTTTTCTATTGTAATGGAAATTCTTGGCGTAAATTCTTTTTTTTTTCTCTCTGCATTTTACTTAATCTGTAGAACTGAAATAAGACGTAGAAAGAAATGAAAACGTTTAAAAGGGCAGTATATCGAAATGACAAATAATTATTCATTGCTTTTATAGTGATTTTGCAATTTTTTACATCGTGTTATATAAAATACTAATTTTATAACAATTATCCATTTTAAAAATGGAAGCTTTCTTGATTACTTATACACCAATTTCCGCTATAACTATTTTTACTGCTTTATATAAGCGTGTTGAAGCTCATGAATGGACAGATAATCGTGAGAAGGAGGTGGCCAATTTTATCGAAGTAGTTGATAAAGTATTAAACACTATTCACATGAATGAAAAAGATAGATTGGACATAATAAGTGGTTTTGGAAGTGGCGAATTTTTAAAACAGCGTGTAAGTCTCAGAAATAACAAATCAAAATTAATTAGATATGATGAATTTATTGGTTTTCTCATGAGGGGAACAAAATATATATTTCGATAATTTTTTGTTCGGACGAGATAGTTTATAAGAGGGCAAACAGATTTCGTCCACCCCTCTTACCGATGTTGATGATGCATAAGGTTGTGTATAAACAGTGAATGCACTTTGTCTTTGTAGTATTAATTCTGTAAGGACGTCGGGAGTAACTGTTTATATACATTAAACGCCATATGCGGATTCTACTGAGGTGTTATCTTTTACAAATGGCCATATTCTTGAAAATACGTGTGAAAAAAGAAAACCAAACTGATCTACGTCCAACATGAACCTAATAAACTATTTTTGAGTTTAACTAACGAATTTTAAATTGCTTTTGTTAGGTCTCGGATGCTTTTGACTATATTCGCTCTTCATTGGAGATGGATGTTTTAGTAAGATTTGGTTATAATATTCTATTTCATTACAAATGAATATTATGTTTAAATATTTACAATTATAGAATGTTGAGGATATCTGGCTAACTGACGCAACTAAAAATCTCGAATCATTGAAGAATGAAGTGCATAAGGTTTGTATTTTAAAATAGATTATATTTTTATTCTTTTTCAATTATCTATTATTAACATTTGTGAATTAGTTGGTATCATCAACGTCTGGGGATGAGAATACTATGTGGAGTGCTGTAAAAAGCGAATTAAATGGAACCGATGTAAAAGATTTGGGTTATGATCACCCATTATGTTCATGTATTTTAGATGATAGTTTTGAACCCTTTACTACGATTCCGGGTTCATTACAGGATGTTTTTAAGGCACCAAGTAGAAAATTCTTAATCCCGACCGATAATTGGTTTTTTATTCCCACATATTATATCTAAGAACTTCTCCAATCGTGTTTGATTTTTTTTACAATAATTATAGTCATCTGGAAAATAATGTCCATATTGTAAATCATTACCTGTTAACTCAACGCAACGCCATATAATAGGAGCACCGCAGTGATACCAAAGGTGGTTGACGAATAAAGCAGGATAGAGGGATCGATTGATTTCTAAAAAATATAAGATCTGTTCTAGTAATTCTGGTAAATCAAAAATATTTAGACCCTTTGGGTCATTGCTCTGCAATAGTTGCACCATTCTCAAGTAATGTATTATTATATATCTTTAATCGAAAAAATAACCAATATTTTTTTTTATGCGTATATAAATGATTAAAAGATTAAGATTCGGCGCTACACGCTTATCACCCGAAGCAATTAGTGATATAATTACTGCTAAGGGTTCAGCAAATGCATTACCGAATCTAGCTAAAAAATATAATGTATCATATACACGAATTCGTGAAATATGGGAATTTGCTATCGCGATAAATAATTAAATCCGAGATTCAGCAAGATATTATAAACGTGATAGCAAACCCAAGTACTGCTAAACAACGATGCAAGATAGCCAAAAAAAAAGATCATTCTTAGTGATTCTTCGTCTTCATCCTCAACTAAATCGGGCTCTGAATATTCTAACATCGATGAGAATGAAATACGTATGCAAGTTCTCGAAGCAAAGAAGCGTAATTAGTTATCATCATCAGAAATTTCTCCATACAAATCGATGATATCCTTGACTTCACTATTTTCTTGTTTAGGTGCTGGAGTATTTGGTCTGTTATACATTATACCATAATGATCTGATGCTTCTCAATTTATTTTGTGCCTTAATGCTAATTTACAAAGACGGTTACATTTAGAGCGAGTCTTACCTTCGTGGATTATAATAGCATGATCGGAACCTATTTTTCTTAAAAGCGATGAACTAATGCCATAGGGAATTAAAAAGTTATTAATCGGATGGACATTCACATCACCATCTTTATCTTTTATTAGAAATGGGAATTTTTGGGGAATTGATTTTTGGATCCAAATAAGTAATTCTCTAGCCCGTAGTGGGTCTTTCTCCATTGATACAAGTGGCCTAGGCTCATCATTTTTATTTTTGGCATAGCCAGTGCAGTACCAAGAATATTTAGGATCATACCATTCTGCATTATTTGAATTATACTGGTCTATATGAAGATTTCTCACATCTGCTGGCCTCATACAAAGCATTACCATTATATCGATTAAATTTTGTATTGTAGGGGGGTTAGCTGTGTCACATTTTTGAAATCGTCCCTGTACTTTTTCTAGAGTAAAGAATTCAGGACAATCGTATCCTTCATCTTCACGACGCTCTTGTCTCTCCCCCTGTTCTTTATTTGATGCACGAGTAATGTCTGGGACATATATAGCTTCTAATGTAATGTAATTGGCATTGAGTTGGCGTAATTCTATTCGGAGCAATTTAAGAAGTGAAGATTGGGCTATATCAGTAGGGCCTGTTTTTGCTAACTTATAGGCCAATTCGTTTATCTGTTCGGGTTCAAGATTACCTTCATTCTCCTTAATATACAAAGCAAGTTTTTTAACTGATTCCCTACCTGTAACGCATCTTCCAGAAGTTTGGACAGGAATTAAAGCATATGTTTGATCTTTACTAAATCCTAATTTCTGGATCCGATTTCGTGCATGATCACGGGCCTTCGCATCTTTCAAATGTTTAACCAATTCTTCAGCATAATTGCTAAGTTCGGCTATACTCATCTGAGGAGTTAAGTTATACTGATTTACGAAATTTGTTGCAACTTTTGACATTGTCGATTGGGATATTTGCGCAGACTATAACTATGGAATATATTTTTTCAAATCGAAATTAATTATCCCAGGTCAGTATATATACCCAAAAATTGAATGGGTGGCGATTAATGTAATTCTATCGAGAAATGGATGCAGATAAAACACGATATCGATCAGACACGAAGTGTCATTTCTCCCGAAATAAAGCCTTGGAATCCGTAGCTTTACGTAATAAAATCACTAAAAATATCAATGGGATCAAAGAGGATATAGCTTTACTTAAAGATGTTTTGGAAAAAATAATTGGTATATGCCAAGCACATGATTATACTTCATGTCTAGAATCGGGTAAGTCGGGTATATGATTCTCAATCATAGCAATTTGTATACACAATTCATCCTGCTTTTTTTGTTGATAATATTCTCTTTTTCGATACTTACTTGCATGATTCCGGCATGCACCATATTTAGAATAAGTTAGCTTACCACAACCATATTCTTTACAAGGAATCCGTGTAGGAGAATTTCGATGAAGTTTACATCCTTCTGGTTGATTACAACCTCGACCACAGACTTTACCAGTTCTAAGAATATAAGGACAACGATAGAGTCCCATATTTATTGTCAATAATAATGATATAGAATAATTAATTTCATTTTGAAGTTTTTCGGGTTAAGTATAATACTTTTAGTTTATAACTATATACTGCATATACAAACAACATACAAATCAATACATGAGTTTGTCTAGTGAAGCAAAAAAACGTCTTCGTGAATCATTACAACAACAGCGCTTAAATCAAAAGTCAGCCGAATATAATGAGGCAAAAAAGCTTCTCACAGGTTTAACGAATCTTGATTATAAACCTAACCATGAAAAATATACGTATCATAAATATTGGCTTAAATCCGATGGAAATGATACTGCACTTTTGGAAGTATACAAACCCGAAGAGCTTTATTCCCAATATATAATTCGAGTGGCAGAAAAGGGGTTTACTATAGTTGATCATCCTTCCAAAGTTTATGGGCTACCCGACACCCACGAATGTATTGATGGAAGTCTACCTCTTCACCCAGTTCTGGACATCGATGCAAGGCAGTACCCCGATCCCATGAATTCTGAACTCCCTTCCTTAGATAGATATAAAATTTCTCGTGAAGATTTATTATCCAGGATCTTAATTGCCTGTGCCGATATTATATATACCGATTTAAAACACCACATAACTTTAAATGATTTTGCCTTAGCTAGTTCGTCTAATGCCAATAAATGTAGCTGGCATATTGTATATCCCCATGCCTGTTTTATTGACTATAGAGATCTTAAAGGTTTTGTGGAAAAAGTTGCTAATAGGATTGGAAAGCCATACTCAGAATTTATTGATATAGGACTCTATAAATCTCGCTTCAGTCTTCGTCTTCTTGGGTCGGCAAAGGGTGATAGAATTAAAAGACCTACAATTTCTTCAGTTAAGAAAGGATATCGTAAGCTAGAAGATTATCTAGTTCAACCTAGGTTTGATGTTTCTGAAATCTGGCCCCGAACCTTTTCTTCTGAGGAGCCAGTAAAACAAGAATCCCAGCCCATCAATGATGAAAATGCTTTGAATAAAGGTGCTAATCTAGTTATTGAAAAATATGGGTGGCTTCAGATTGGAAGAACTGAGAAAGGATTCATCAACTTTCAAACACAATCAGTTAAAGAGTGTCCTATATGCGATGTTAAACATGAAAAAGATCAGCTCTATGGATTTATTCGTCAAAATGGGCATTTCATACTTAAGTGTTATCGTCAAAAACAATACAAGCCAGATCACAAGGGCCTTAGCTTCGATAAAGTATCAGACAAAGTCAAATCAATAGTGAAACCTAAATTGGGATTAAATGAAAGAATAGCCAAAGCTGTATTAAATCCACGTCCACTTCCTAAATTACCTGGAGAAGTTATTAATGTAAAGGAAATGGAAAATGCTCCAGAAGTTTATCCCAATTTCTTGAGTAACAAACCTAGTACAACTTTGATTCGCTCTCCTATGATGACAGGAAAAACGAAAGGTTTAAGAAGGAATATTGAGACTTTATCTAGAAGTGGAACACAATTACCTGCTATTATTTGGATCTCTTATCGAAAAACTCTTAGTAACGAATCACAAGGAAAAATCAATGAACTCAAATTATCGGGGCTCAAAATCTGTAACTACCAAGATGAACAGAACTTATCTGTAGATAAATGGGATGTTATTATAGTTCAAGTAGAGAGCCTTTCTTGTATCGAATTCTCATCTCGTCTTATTATAGCAGTTTTAGATGAAGTCAATGCAATTCAACGTCAAACCAAACCAAACCAAACTCCCCCATCCCTATCAATTATGATAATCAAAGGCTGTTTTTCTCTTTTCTTTCTGAAATTTTCAAACAAATAATAAAAATTAAATCCTGAATTTTTCTTAGTTCTAAACTAAACAAATTCTACAAAAATTCATAAAATTTTGTAACAATGTTATTTTATACTTTATACTTTATTTCTAAAGATTTATGAATATATTGGATTTGTATTATTTTATTATGAAAAAAATAAATCTTTCCATTGATATCTAATATCTGATATACTAAAACCCTGATAATAACAAATTTCTAAACTTTCAGGTTTGAAAGTAAGTAGAATCATTATAATTGCAGCTAAGCAACTTTCTTGATTACCTATGTTACAGAATATCTAGTTCAAAAAACATTTACCGACATTTGAAGTTTACAATAATTGATAAACTAAATTCAATTGATAATTACGGTTTATCAGTTTAGTATATGCCAAAAAATATTTATTTATTTATATCGTTTTATTCGTTATTTTAAATCGACACGAATTATAGAATGATTTATAATGACTGATTAGATTATTGAAGGAAAAGAAGGTTTTGTCAACGATAGTGGTGATAGCATTGAGAGTGATAAATTAACCGAATGATGCTATTACCAGAGGAAGCAAAGCAACGGGAACTGGTGGGTAAATTAGTCGCACTATAAAGAACTAACACTTACTTCAATTGATGATAACAAAATTAAAAATGAAGGTTTATGAAAAAGAAGACAATAAAGAAACCACCCAACAAACAAGTCAGGATTATAAGAAACCTGACGCAAGTAAAGTCAATCATTCTCAACTTGACATGACAATTAGATTTCCTCGAGCAGCAAGTACTAAGACTGTGAAAATTTTAAAGGACTTCTTTTTTTTAAACAATATTTGAGGGGTCTGGTACGTTTCCCCGACAACCGTTTCCCCGACACCGTTTCACCGACAGGACGTTTCACCGACAGGACGTTTCACCGACAGGACGTTTCACCGACAGGACGTTTCCCCGACAAGATTTTGTTAACTATATTTAATATTAATTGGCTAATAAATGGCCTAACCGACTTAAACAGCTTAGTCGCCTAATGAATGGGTTAATAGACTTAAATGGTTTGATAAACTTAGCCGGATATGGCATAGCAGGGAAACAAATAAATATTGTAATACAAAATGTAATTGTCGGGGAAACGTCTAGATACCTCGAAAAATCTATTATTGACTGGATTAATTGAAAATCAGATATTGATTCAATTAATATATTACGACAATAATTATTATATTTGTAGTCCTACTCTAAGCCTAGAAAAAACATCATCAATCTATCATCTTTAAAACACTGTTAGTTCTCAAAACTCATTAAAAAAATAAATAATTTACGAGGGATTTTTCCAATTCTTTCAGAAATAACCAAAAAATTTCCGACATCAGTTTCCAGAGAGAAGTTGTTCCGTGTTGTTGGTAATAATATTACCAATGAGTGCATAAACTTGAAACTGAGTATTATAAAAAAAATTGAACTTTTTAAAACAGAATATAAAAAAAGTGAATAGCTTTAATAATAATTTTTATGCACACGTACATAACTAATTAATCGGTAAATAATTTTTAATCGAGTCCAATCTCTAATCAGAATGGCGGCCCAGAAGAAGTTATTAACGCTGTTACTTTCACTATAACAATCACTACTACGGGGTTCATCAGGAAAATAAATCTCACGTAAACCTACGTAGGGTTTAAAACTGACCAGCATTATGCGGAAATGTTAACAGAATTACCAAAATATCGACATAATGCTGGCCAATTCTGAACCCTATGTAGGTTTACGTAAGATTTATTTTCCTGATGTTGAAAGAGAGGTAAAGGAATCGTGGAATTCTTGGAAATGTCCGGATTAGGTGCAATCAGAAATCTTACTAGACTTGGAGGAGTTCCAATCTCACATGCGAGGAAACTAAATGTAATTTGAAAGTCTTTTTTGGAATGGTAAGCGCAAGAATTTGACGTCGGTTATTTATCATTTATCATACTATACATCATATTAAATAAAATTTATACAGTCCACCCATACATTAAAAAAAAAACAAGAAAAAACCATTTATGGGTTTGATAGATAAATTAATACTAAATTAATGATTATTGTGTATTTTTCAATATCGTTAATGCCAAAATTATAATGGTGAATCTTGGTAAGGTGGTAATTACTATATTTCCTTCCTTTATTCTATTTTCCCGCTATTCCTTATATATAAATTTAACATTAAACGGAAATTGATTTAAAAAAATATTAACGCTATAACTAATGCAACTAAAGGATTGGTTGGTTCTAAAGTTTGTAGATTTTTAAGTTTGTAAAATAATATCTAATAGGTTCAATGGCGAGGTTGAATTTTGGAATTTTATAAAATAGCCAAACCAAGGATTTATAAAAGAATATTTTGTATTTACTCAAACTGAACCGTCTTTCGGAGACAAGCGATGATTAATTAGATAAATTTAATTATTAGTTCTTGATATTATTTTATTAACTGATTCTAATATTGTTTGACGAAATGTTATCAAAGTTGTAAAACTATTACATCAAAATTGCATTTTTCCTTACCTGCAGCTTTCCATATTAATAATATTAATATCAACATGTAGTAAAATCAACATCTGGTAAAATCCTTTGCATTTCCTCATATTTTGTAATTTTTCCTTACATTCATTTTTTATAGGACTGGTACACTATCCTCCGAGACAGTATATATCAAAATCTTACCATCACCCCATACGGGCCTCAGTTGGGGATTTGTTACATCGTGGAAATTATCCGACCAAATTTGATACACTAGGAATGTTCAAAGCAGTTTTCTGTTCCTTGTTGTAAAATACTTATTAGTATTATTACAATTAGGTAATGGAAATCAGGATTAAGGTTTCCAGTCGAAACTATCTCTCTTAGTAGCCGAAATTGTCGAAACACTTTGGGTGAAAATTGATTTTTTATAAGCTCAAACTATTTTTTATTAACTGCGAAATTATTTTTAAATTATTCAAATTAAAATAGGTTGATTTTAGGGGTTGGCACGGTCAACCGTTTAACCGTGGTTAACAGGTTAACTGCAATTAAACGGTTAACCGGTTAAGATATTTTTTTTAACCGGTTAACCACCATTTATTAATTTTTTTTTTATATATTACAGTCAAACCTCGTCACAGAGGACCTCGCCGCAACACATTCTTGTTACAACGGATTTAAGCATTGTCCCCTTATTAATATTAATTAAAACGTTTGTCATAATAATAACGGATTCTACTACTAATAATAAATTTGTTCCACGGATTTTTGATGAGGTCTTTCTATGTCTACAGCAGATTCACGTGATCCAAATTACCAAAATTGATAAGGAAAACTGCAATTCTCCCTTTGGAAAATGAAATATCTAATAATGAAATTGAAAATTCAAGAAATATAGTCGAAGAGGTTTCAAAATGATGCTAATAATATAATAGTTGTTGAGAGTAACACTATGTATAAAGTTTCAACGAAAGATGCCGTAATTTCCTTTGAGATGGCTTTTAATTTTCTTCAACAAAGTGATTTAGAAATAGATTGTAAAGAAATTAAAGCATTGAAACCATTGAAAAAAGTGAAATTATTAGATAATGAAAACTAATACAACCAAATATTACATCTTATTTCAAATAATTTCATTTCCGTATGTATTATTCATTTATTCATTTATTTATTTCTGTATTTAATTTATTAATTTATTGCACTATACCAAACCTCTCTATAACGAACACTAAGTAAATTTCTCTATAACGAATTTCCCTTTTGTCGCCCGTCTCCGATTCAATTTTTTATAATTAATTTCTCCCTAAAATGAACAAAAGCAGAAAAATGCATATAATGGACAGAGGGTTCGGTATAGAGAGCTTTGTATTATTAAAAAAAATTTGCCAATTTTGCCGCTGCGGACTTCTTGTCATAATAATAATAATAATAATAACGGATTTTTTGGCTGGAACCATGAATCACTGTGGCGAGGTTTGACTGTAATCATTTAGCATCTATTAAGTGTATAATAATAAAATTCAACAGGCGCGTGATTATTTTGTAAGTAATGAACGATCGAATTTACCAGTTAAAAAATTCCACGTGACTAAATTAACCAGTTAACCGGTTAACTCTTAATTTTAACGGTTAATTAACCGGTTAAGGAATTTTGCGCGGTGCCAACCTCTACAATAACACCAACTGTTGGTGTTATTGTTGTCTCAATTTTCTCAGTTTTTCTAGCTTCAGTTATTTTAAGACGAAACTCTTGTGTAATTCCTTTACAGTCTTTTATGGAATGTTTATACATATTTTCATAAATACCACGCATCTCTTCATCACGATAATTTCAAACAGCTTTTTTATGACGACTATTAAATTTCCAGCTTCTACATAGTGTTTCCATATTTGGGACCTTTTCTAGCAAAAACGGTCTTCCATAAAAATAGATTTTTTTTGGGTAAATCACACATTAAAATTGTTACACGAAAAAGGAAAATTGCCCCCTAAAATTTGATACGGTGCAGATCATCTATAATCATTAATTGCTTATAGTAACAATTGGTCAACTTCAAAATACTAAAACAAAAAAA